ACCACGTTGAGCTTGCTGGTGGTGGTTACTACAACGCCAAGACTATGACCGAGGCCATCACCAAGATTGAAAAGGTCATTCCCCCGGGCCGTGGTATCACCATTAACCTGATCTACGTCAATCCTCGGGCCATGGCCTGGCAGATTCCTCTCATCGGCCGTTTGCGCTCTGAGGGTGTGCCCGTTGAGGGTCTGGCCATCGGTGCGGGTGTGCCTTCCATCGAGGTCGCCAATGAATACATTGAAACTCTTGGCATCAAGCACATTGCCTTCAAGCCCGGCTCCGTGGACGCCATTCAGCAGGTGATCAACATTGCCAAGGCCAACCCCAAGTTCCCCATCATCATGCAGTGGACCGGTGGCCGTGGTGGTGGTCACCACTCCTTCGAGGATTTCCACCAGCCCATTCTTCAGATGTACAGCCGACTCCGCAAACAAGACAACATCGTCATTGTCGCTGGTAGTGGTTTCGGTGGCGCCGAGGACACCTACCCGTATCTCTCTGGTACCTGGTCTGCCAAGTTCGGCTACCCTCCCATGCCCTTTGACGGATGCTTATTTGGTAGTCGTATGATGATCTCCAAGGAAGCCCACACCTCCAAGAACGCGAAGAAGGCCATTGCCGACGCTCCTGGTGTGGATGACGCCGAGTGGGAGAAGACTTACAAGCAGGCCACCGGTGGTGTGATCACTGTTCTGTCCGAGATGGGCGAGCCGATCCACAAGTTGGCCACCCGTGGTGTCTTGTTCTGGCAGGAGATGGATCAAAAGATCTTCAAACTTGACAAGGCCAAGCGGGTCCCTGAGCTCAAGAAACAGCGCAACTACATCATCAAGAAGCTCAATGATGATTTCCACAAGGTTTGGTTTGGTCGCAACACCGCCGGAGATACTGTTGACCTGGAGGACATGACCTACGCTGAGGTGGCTCACCGCATGGTGGACCTCATGTACGTCAAGCACGAGTCCCGCTGGATTGATGATTCCCTCAAGCGTCTTACTGGTGACTTCCTCCGCCGTGTTGAGGAGCGATTCACTACCGCTAATGGCCAAGCCTCTTTGCTCCAAAACTACTCGGAGCTGAACACTCCCTACCCTGCTGTTACCAACATCCTGGCTGCCTACCCCGAGGCTGCTGCCCAACTGATTAACGCGCAGGATGTCCAGCACTTCTTGCTGCTGTGCCAGCGCCGCGGACAGAAGCCTGTTCCCTTCGTTCCCTCCCTGGATGAGAACTTTGAATACTTCTTCAAGAAGGACTCCCTGTGGCAGAGTGAGGACCTGGAGGCTGTCGTTGATCAGGATGTTGGACGTACCTGCATTCTCCAGGGTCCTATGGCTGCTCGCTTCTCCAACGTCATCGACGAGCCTGTTAAAGACATTCTTGACGGTGTTCACAATGGCCACATCGCCGGTCTGCTCCGTGATGTCTACGGTGGTGACAAGAGCAAGATTCCTGTGATCGAATACTTCGGCGGCAACCTTGTTAGTGCCGAGGATGAGGATGAAGTCGAGGGTCTCACCATCTCCGAGGAGGCTACCAAGACCAGCTTCCGCCTTTCCTCCTCCACTGCTGATTTGCCTGAGCTGGACCGTTGGCTACGTCTTTTGGCTGGCGATTCCTACTCCTGGCGCCATGCCTTGTTCATGGCGGATGTTTTCGTCCAGGGTCACCGTTTCCAAACCAACCCCTTGAAGCGAATTGTGGCTCCTACCCCCGGTCTCTTTGTGGAAATTGCCAACCCCAGTGATCCCGCCAAGACCGTCATTAGCGTTCGCGAGCCTTACCAGTCTGGCAAGCTTGTGAAGACCGTTGAGGCTAAGATTAACGAGAGCGGTCAGGTCAGCCTGACTTTGTTCGAAGGCCGCACTGCCGAGGGTGGTGTTGTTCCCCTGACCTTCCTCTTCACCTACCACCCAGAGACCGGATACGCTCCCTTGCGTGAGGTCATGGGAGATCGCAATGATCGCATCAAGGAGTTCTACTACCGCATCTGGTTCGGTAACAAGGATGTTCCTTTCGACACCCCCACAACCGCTACCTTCAACGGTGGCCGTGAGACTATCACTGCTCAAGCTGTTGCCGACTTTGTCCACGCTGTCGGCAACACTGGTGAGGCCTTTGTTGATCGTCCTGGTAAGGAGGTGTACGCGCCTATGGATTTCGCCATCGTGGCTGGTTGGAAGGCCATCACCAAGCCTATCTTCCCCCGCACCATCGATGGAGATCTGCTTAAGTTGGTCCACCTTTCCAACGGCTTCAAGATGGTCCCAGGTGCTGAGCCCCTGAAGGTTGGAGATGTTCTCGATACCACTGCTCAGATCAATGCCGTGATCAACCAAGAGTCCGGCAAGATGGTCGAGGTTTGCGGTACTATCAAGCGTGATGGCGAGGCTATTATGCACGTCACCAGTCAGTTCCTGTACCGTGGTGCTTACTCGGACTTTGAGAACACCTTCCAGCGCAAGGACGAAGTGCCCATGCAGGTTCACCTGGCCACCAGCCGTGATGTCGCCATTCTGCGCTCCAAGGAGTGGTTCCGCATGGATGAGAGTGAAATTGAGCTTCTGGGTCAGACTCTCACTTTCCGTCTGCAGAGTCTGATTCGCTTCAAGAACCAGACCGTCTTCAGCAACGTCCAGACCATTGGTCAGGTTCTGTTGGAGCTGCCCACCAAGGAGGTTATCCAAGTGGCATCTGTCGACTACGAGGCCGGTACCTCACACGGTAACCCGGTGATTGACTACCTCCAGCGTAACGGTACATCGATTGAGCAGCCTGTCTACTTTGAGAACCCCATCCCTCTCAGTGGCAAGACCCTGTTGGAGCTCCGCGCTCCGGCCTCTAACGAGACTTATGCTCGTGTCTCTGGTGATTACAACCCCATTCACGTGTCCCGTGTCTTCTCCAGCTACGCCAACCTCCCCGGCACCATCACCCACGGCATGTACAGCAGTGCTGCCGTGCGCAGCTTCGTTGAGACCTGGGCTGCTGAGAACAACATTGGCCGTGTTCGTGGCTTCCACGTCTCTCTTGTCGGTATGGTTCTCCCCAACGATATGATCACTGTCAAGCTCCAGCACGTCGGTATGATTGCTGGTCGCAAGATCATCAAGGTTGAGGTCAGCAACAAGGAGACTGAAGACAAGGTTCTGCTGGGTGAGGCTGAGGTTGAACAACCCGTCACCTCATATGTCTTCACTGGTCAGGGCTCCCAGGAGCAGGGCATGGGTATGGAGCTCTATGCTAGCAGCCCCGTTGCCAAGGAGGTCTGGGACCGCGCCGATCGCCACTTCATCGAGAACTACGGCCTGTCGATCATTGACATCGTCAAGAACAACCCCAAGGAGTTGACCGTCTACTTTGGTGGTCCTCGGGGTAAGGCCATTCGCCAGAACTACATGGCGATGACCTTCGAGACCGTGAACGCCGATGGCTCCATCAAATCCGAGAAGATCTTCAAGGGTATTGACGAGACTACCGATTCATACACTTACCGATCCCCCACCGGTTTGCTGTCTGCTACCCAATTCACCCAGCCCGCTCTCACCTTGATGGAGAAGGCCAGCTTTGAGGACATGCGCTCCAAGGGTCTTGTGCAGCGTGACAGCAGCTTCGCCGGTCACTCCCTTGGTGAATACTCGGCCCTGGCTGCCCTTGCCGATGTCATGCCTATTGAGAGCTTGGTGTCCGTTGTGTTCTACCGTGGTCTTACCATGCAGGTTGCTGTCGAGCGTGATGAGCAGGGTCGTTCTAACTACTCCATGTGTGCTGTCAATCCCAGCCGTATCTCCAAGACCTTCAACGAGCAGGCCCTGCAGTATGTTGTGGAGAACATTGCTGAGGCGACTGGCTGGTTGCTTGAGATTGTCAACTACAATGTGGCCAACATGCAATATGTTGCCGCTGGTGATGTAAGTTCTTTCTTTAATATTTGTTTTCTTTTTGTAGCCACAAGAAATATTGGATACTAATCATTCTTTCTCTCTCTATTTAGCTCCGCGCTCTTGACTGCCTTACCAACCTTCTTAACTTCCTCAAGGCCCAGAACATGGATATCCCCGCTCTGATGGAGAGCATGTCTCTCGAGGACGTTAAGGCTCATCTAGTGAGCATCATCCAGGAGTGTGTCAAGCAGACCGAGGCCAAGCCCCGCCCAATTCAGCTGGAGCGTGGCTTTGCCACCATCCCGCTCAAGGGTATCGATGTGCCCTTCCACAGTACCTTCCTGCGCTCCGGTGTCAAGCCCTTCCGGTCATTCCTGCTCAAGAAGATCAACAAGACCACCATTGATCCCAGCAAGTTGGTGGGCAAGTACATTCCCAACGTCACTGCTCGTCCCTTCGAGATTACCAAGGAGTACTTTGAGGATGTGTACCGTCTTACCAACTCTCCCCGTATTGCCTCCATTCTGGCCAACTGGGAGAAGTACGAAGAGGGTACCGAGACCACCTCTCGTGCGGCCTAGTGATGTATCTATTGATTCCCCATTCTCGTCCTTCTAATGTGTTTATTGTTTTCGTGATAGAAAGACCTTGTTTTTTTTTCTCGGTCGTGATGTGACATGTCTCGAATCTTGGCGGAGTTGTTCCTGTTGCATGTATATGAGTCTCTTTATCTATTTTTTCTTCTCTTAAATTATTCATTCAAGTTTGATTATATTTGATATCTCTTTTTCTAATATGTAGTCACGATTTGTTTGATTTAGTGTAACAGTCTTATAGCGTCTTCCGGGGTTATATTTAAGAATATGCTAAGGAGAGCAATCTTAGCTTTTTAACTACGAAAGAAAATACATGGTACGAAGTAACTAATGATCAGATCAAAAGAGATGACAAATAGGTATTCGTGGTAAATCGGTGGCGCTAAGATTCATTCATTGATTCGATCATTCAATTGGTGAGAAGACTTGGATGATAATGATTTAACACGTGGTCTACCTCGAGCGTAGGGGGATTATTGCAAAGGGTTGATCTTAAAGAAGTCATCCGAGACAGGCCTTATGTCCCCTTCCAAGGACCAGGTCGAAGCAATCGGTCGTCTTTGCCGTAAACACTGACATCTTTGACGATGCCAATGAAGCGACGGTGGATTTCCTTGTTATCGCCGATACGGGGGCGGAAAATCCGAAGAAGTTCAACGGTGGTAATACCCGTTGCCGGGATAGATGCATGAATCTCTGCAGGTGTTGGGAAGGATATGTTTCCAACTGGCCCGGGTGTCGAACGTCCTAAGAATAAAGTCAGTATACTGTGTCAAGGAAGATTTCTGGAACGATGACTTGCCTCGACCTCCGTCGGGGCTGCTAGCGCGGCTTCCAGAGAAGCTTTGATTGCCTGCAATAGGGCTAGCTGCCCGGGATCCCTGCGGCGTGGCCCCCCGAGAGCCACCGGAAGGCGGATTGAGCTTCAGTTTCTTGGATTTGCCACTCTCGCTCATCTCAGCACCAGATGCAGCATCAATATCGCTGCCAGAACCAGAACCCCCCATGGGGATATTGCGGACTCGTTTCTTGCCAGCCTGATGTAGTTTGTCAAGTTAGTATTACATTTCACTCATTACTCATATGCTGCACTTACTTGCACACCAGAGGGCGAAATTGGCCTTGAGGTAGGCTGTGGTGTCTGGTGAGCAGACGAATGCTTGTTCTTGACCTTCTTTCGGGAAGTATCGGTGCCACTAGCATCGGAGCCACCAGGCGAGCCGAGTCGCTTGCGAGATGCGGTGGATTTCTTGAGAGGGTCGGTATGCTTCGGACGACCGGACGGCGTAGTGGCTCCTTTGGGTAACGATGCACCCAATTCTTTCTCTTTCTCCTTCTTTTCCTCCTCGGCTTTCCGTTCCTCCTCCTTCAACCGTTCGGTTTCACTGTCGTCGGAGCTCTAAGTAGATGGAAATTGCCCAGTAAGTCTCACAGCCTCTTGGGTAGCAGATATGGGAGTAGAAAGATAACTTTACCTCCTCTTCGCTATATGGGTTAGCGTCTGAACCACTGCTGTAGTCAAAATTCCTTTCTCTCTTCTTCAGAGCTTTGCGCATCTTTTTCCCAAGCTTGTGACGGGCTTCACGTTCTCGCTTTTCTCGCTGTTCTTCCTCTTCATAATCCTTTTCTTCCTTAAGGTCAAAGACGTTCGCCTTGAGTTGGTCATCTTTGATTCGTTTTTCAGCAGCCTTGGTGTCTTCATCTTGTTCATTGAAAAGATCATCATGTTCCTCGTCGTCTGCGAAGCGGTCTTCTTCAAAATCCATCTCACTGGCTTCGAGGCCCTCTCGTCCGGCCAGAACACCCTGCTTTCCGGCGTAGACCTTCCGCGATTTAGCAAATTTTTCTAACTCCTTCTGCTGTGCCACCTCTTCTTGTTTTTCCATGAACCATCGCGGATCCTTCACCCGCTTCGCCATAAATTTTTCTGCTTCTTCAATCGTCAGGGCCTTAAAATGACTCTTGGCGCTGAATTTGTACCACTTTTCAGCGGGAATCATGCGCATCTTGCCGTTATCAAGGACGAACACTGCATGGGTCTCCGATAGAGCAGCTTCGTAGTTACCCACCCAGATATTACGATTGTCAAAGTCCTCAAGGTGCCAAGGTAGCGCCTCCTCATATTTGATCCGGGCTCTCGCAATCTCCTCGGGGGTCATATCAGACTTGAAAACTTGTTGTGTTTTTTGCTTCGGGGCATTTGGTCGCTTCGCGGTTGATCCGACCGAAGGGGCGATCTGTGCGAGGTTTTCGGCGCGCTCCTTCTCCCGTGCAGCTCTCTTGGCGTCGAGAGCTTCTCGCTCTGCCTCATCAAGTTGTTGCCCATCGGGACCTACCATTCTTTCCGCATTGTGATCCTGATTTCGGGGGCGTGGGTCTCGACGCTGCAGCCTGACGGGTCGCGTGAATTGGGATTCATCGCGTGGGTCGACAACTCGCTTGGCGGCAAAGCGAGCGATGTGGTTCTTCAGTCCCTCGCGCAGGGCTCGTTTCGTCGTCACCACCGGATAGTCGACATATTTCTCGGAAAGAAGGGGGCCGCTGAATCCATTCACGGCGTGATCATCTCTTACAGCGGCTAGTCGAGGCCGCTCCAGTGGCTGCGATACCGGTAAGGTGTTGGGAATCATAGGTCGCGAGGGAAGAGTCTTGGTAGCTGTGGTGCCCGGCGGAATAACTCCTGCTGGAGCAGCTCCTACTGGTCTCACTGGCCTTCTCTTTGGGCGAACCAAGGGGTCGGCAGCTTTAGGGCGACGCATTCGCATGGGGGGAGCTCCATGAGGCCCCGTCTGTGTGCGCCCATTCGAGGGGTTGGTCGGCGTAGACATAATGCTCTCAAAGAGAATGTTGAGGAGGGGGGGAGAGATCTTTAAGCATGAAAGAGACTCATGGGTCAAGGAAGGATGGTGCCTGTGGGTGAGAATCCAAACCAAGAGTGCAAGAAGTGAGAAGCTGCGGAGTTGTCTTGCAGCCTGACAATGATGATGAAAGATCACGGGGTAGCTTAGTCATTGTTGGAGCCTGAGGCCTTGGCTTTACTCGGATTTATCTACTCGATCTTGACTCTTGTTCACTGCAGAGTTGTTATAATATTCAATTCAAATTTGAATTCAACCTTTGCTTCGGTTCCTTTTCTGATCTGTTGAAATTATCTAAGAGTAAATGAACCACCCTCCTGGAAGTTGAGAAGTTCAATTACCCCTCAGCATGACCATGTTGTACTCCCCCAATCGTCACTTAATTTATGCACAAGTTCCGACGAAATCTGAGGTCCAGGATTTATCAGTATGTCTCATTCTCTAGCAGTCATATGGGATAAAACATCATGGGCCCAAATTTTCTTTCCATCAGGGGAAAATGATTATAGTGTGTAATGTATATATCATGACTACAGAGCATGACTACGGTACATGCTAGAAAACATGCATTACCTACTTTGACCTGGGCACAAGGAAGGATTCGGGGGGAGACTTTCAAAGGAAGAGAAAAAGGTCCGCCTTTGTATCAATAATTCATTCATTCATATACTCATACATTTGCAGATTCAAAGTATAGGAAAATTCAGTTTCCAAACTTCTGTCCTGGCTCCAAACGTCGGTATGGACAGGCGATCCAGTCGCAGCCTTGTTTGTAAATCTCCGTCCCCCACCATTGAAATCCAGTGACCCAACCTGGATAGATGAGAGCAAAGAACACAACCACCACGGCAAATGCGAGGCCTGAGTCTAAAGCGGCGGACAGGGTCATTGCATACTTCTCCCACCAAGCCGTCTTGCGGCGCCGAATCACGTAGTTAAACACGAAACATACCAATGCCCAGGTGGAGAAGTTCAAGCCGGTGGCAGGGGGGATCCAGCTGAGACTACCGAACAGGATGGGAAAGTTGACCTTGCGCCAAAAGCTTTTCTTGCTTCGTCGACCAAGGGCCCAGGCACCCAACGGTGCCACGGCACCGATCAAAAATGCCCACACCAGGGGCCGGTAGAGGCCATCCGGCCCGAAGAATCTCTGTGGGCCCACGACACCCCAGAGAATACTCCCATTGAAATGCACTCGAGCAATCGGACAATTGAATCCATTTAGCGCTTGAGGGGTACACAACTTTGGGATATGGGTGAACATCCAGTTCAGCACCCCAATCTGGGTTAAGCTAGACACCAGTGTGGCGAGCATTTGTACGCCGAACAAAATGCGAGGTGGAATCTTCATATAATGACCAAGTTTGAGGTCCGAGGAAAATTTGATGCCTTGAGCGGAACTGATGTAGGAGTATGTCACGAAAATCATGTTCGCAACGGGCCGTCCAGGAAATACGATGCCACAAAGCAGTTGACAGATTAAGTAGAGACTGCTGTGTTGATTGGTCACAGCCATTATGATGCCAACGGGGATAAAAAAGACACTAGTCATTCCCAGAGCCAAAAGCAGCCCGTACCAAGGTAGGTGAACCGGATAACTGTAGAAAGGATGTCAGTATTACGATACAAGAAAATAAAAAAACTCGGAGGCATCATAACATACTGCTCCACGGTAAATATGGCAGTGACAAGCATCGTGATGAGCACTATGAGATACCATGTGAGTGGGGCATCTTTATAACGCCTCATCAGACGACAATGAACATCTTCCGTTCCCGGAGGCATCTCTCGAAGAGCCTCTTGCGAGTCTCTGGAGATATCATAGCTGCGACGAGGCGGCTGAGGTCCTCTTTCGCTCCTCAAGGGCTCATATGTGTCACGATCTGGAAGTTCTCGTCGTTCTTCGAATGCGCGGCGAGTTTGTTGCCAAATATCTTTGCCATACCAACACACGGTATGACTAACCAATGAGGTGAGAGCCGCAAACTGAACCCCATATGACAACACATAGGTAATGGGGAGATATACTGGCGAGTAATCCTCGTAGGCCTTCTGATCGAACACGAACTCTGGAGTCAAAATTCGGCTCACGTCGTACGGATGGCCCTCATTATCGAAAACGGCTGCCGAGAGGATGGGCATAAAGGACGAGAAGAGCACATTCTTGAAATCTTTTCCCAGGGGTCTCATCAGCCGGGTGCGCCACCACAAAAGGAGCCAAGAGTCACAACTTACACAAAATAGGAGCAATGATCCAAATGACGACCACTAGTCCCGTGACAATATTCGCTGCAGCCCACCAGGGCGTGAGTAGAGGGGACCCAATATAGGCAATTTGAGCCCAATCAAACGTCACAGGGAACATCCCAAGACCCGAGGCCACACCAAACTACGACTCGTCAGCAGCTTATCCCAGTATCCTTCCTGGAAACAGGTAAAAATAACAGGGGAAGAAAGGAGGGGGAAAGCAGGAACACATACGAGATTGGAGACCACCACGTTTTTGGGAGCAAACCAAGTAATCACGCTGAAATAGCTCAGTGCAGGCATCAGTAAGCCCGGAACAAAGTACCAAAGAAAAGCCCCTCCCCAGACCAGTATGAAAAACTTATATCTAGAGATACTCCATCCATCGGCTTTCTTGTTGGTTGTCTTGTGCATTGTAGAAAACATGGCAGTGGACATGAGAGTTCCCGGCCATATCATCGCGGATGGCCGCACTAGAAAGCGTCTCGTTAAGCCAGCAAAGGCATAGCCTAGGACCTGAGTCGAAATTATAAGCAGTAGCTGATATAATATGGGAACTTCCTGGTTATAAAATTTATGTTGCTCAACGATCACCTATTCTGCTAGTCAGCCTTGAAAGAAGTTTGTTTGAGAATGAATCGGTCTGGGTGATGGATACTAACGTCCGTTGCAAAGGCGAACCCAAAAGAGACATTGCTACTGATGTAGACGCAGGCATGTTCCTTCTCATTCCAACGGCCCTGAGCAAGCCATAGTCGAACCCGAGACACCCACGATCGGTTGGGGGGATCAATCTCGCCAGCTAGAGATTCCCGGTGGTCGAGGGTTCCATTCTCAAACAGCTCGAGGGGATCATCGGTCCGCTTCAATAAAACATCCCAAAACTTGCCCAGGGGGTGGACTAAGACTAGAGCAATAATCGGGGTGATGGCCACGCTCGGGTAGCGAAGTGAGAAGAAAAGATTCGCAGCGGAGCCCGTCAGTGAGAATATCAAGGAGAGAATCCACATCCGAGGGGCTATATAATGGACATTGGTTAGTTCAAATTGATCTAAACTATATAGTATTCCAGGAGCAGCCTTACTGTTGATGGACAAAGTGATATCATCTGTTGCTGGGACGGTTGCTCGAACTTGAGCATAGCTAACATCAGCGGCGAGGCAAAGTTAGCCTTGGATCGTGCGCTCAACGGGTGGAAGCCGGTCAAGGTCAAACTCACGGTGAATTATCCGGGGGATCCTCCTCGGGAGACTTTGAGTCCTCGTCCTCGACATCCAGGGCATCTTCCTCATCACTGGTCATGTAGGGGGACGAGACTGGAGTTTCTTGAATTACCGGATTTCCAGGTACTGCCAACCCCGTCGCAAATGAGAATTTTGAATCGGCACCCATACCTACATCAGAGGTCGCAGATGAGGGTCGCCGGTTATGGGTTTCTCTGTACCAGCCACTACTTCTTCGACTTGATGAGTGCGAGCGTTTTGATTTGGGATTAGACCTCGACGGGCCCTCAGCACCATTCTCGAAAGTGGTTTGGTAGGATCCTTCTTCGTTCACTCCCCTACGGATATTCTTCCGTTGTGCTGGCAGATGGGCCTCGTCGTCGGGGCCATGTGGGATACGTACAGCACCGTACGAGGTTGAGCCCAGGGCAGGCGACGATCGAATCAATGGGGTGCGTGACATGAGGACACGGAGGAGGCGCTGGGCGAAGGACGTGGAAGCGGGCGGGCTCACGTCGAGATCCAGGTCAAGGTCAAGGTCAAGGTCCGAGTCGCAATTTCCATTGTTGTCACGCCTGCCACAATTATCACACAATTCAGGATTGAGATCCAAGTGTGGATTGGGATTGGGATTGGGATTGGGATTATTAAGATCGGAGTTGGAATTGGGGCAATCGCAACGATTGACCTCCACTTGGTCCGGTTCGGCGGGAAGCCTCTCGCCCCTCGGCTTGGGACAAGACAGCTTCCGCGTCTGTAGCGGAATCTCGGCCGTCGTGATGGGTGGATTGGAATTGATTTTTCTTTAGAGCTTTCTCCCTTCTTTTTATTCGTTGGTGTAACGTATATTTATGTTGTACTCCATAAAAAGAGGGGATCAATGATGAAATTGAGGTTACTTTGGGATTAGATCGTGCAGTAGCTCCAAGCGAAAGATTTGACCATTTCTCCGGCCCCACATGTGCGGCGGCCGATAGAGGCCACCCCTAGGTCAAATCCCAATTTCAACTTTCCGACCGGCAGAAAGTAAATCAATTACGAGTAATTCCAAATTCATATTAGTTTTTGAACTCCATTATGTTCAGGCAGTTCAGCGCTGCATATCACAACAACTGGCAAGAAAGAGAGGCTGAGATCCTAGTCATATAATCCATTCTTAAGTCCCTTCTCAAGACTACTCTCAAGACTACTCTCAAGTCTATTCTCAAGTCTATTCTCAAGTCTATTCTCAAGTCTATTCTCAAGTCTATTCTCAAGTCTATTCTCAAGTCTATTCTCAAGTCTATTCTCAAGTCTATTCTCAAGTCTATTCTCAAGTCTATTCTTAAGTCTATTCTAAAAGTGACCCGTATTTAGATCAAATCCCTTAAGATATTCCTGTACGTGATAAATACAATACAGGCGGGAAACATGGCGGTGAAGTTAGAAACTGAAATTGGGATATGACCTAGGGGTGGCCTCTAGTTAACTAGTTATCGGCCGCCATACCACATGTGACTAAGTGAGGATTCAATGCTAGTCAACTAAATAACTGATATATCTGTTTTAACGACATTTGAAAATCTTTTGGAATGTTTATTCAAGGTATATAATATCTTCTTTTTGTTCAATGTTTCTTCTTGCTTCTTCTCTTCTATCTTTTGGGGGGGAATCTCTCGACGTCTTAAAACAACTCTGTCACTTTCTCATCTTCATCGGCAGGTGGTGCTTCAATCTTCGCCTGTGCCTCTGTCAAATCTGCGTCGGTTTGGCCTCCCTCTCCTTCCTCGTCTCGCATCAACACCTGTACAAGTCGATCACATGCTTCCCGTACATCTTCATCCTCAACGTTCAAGTGACATTCCCGAATGAATGAGTACACTTGTACCGCACGCATTTGAGCCCGACATTCGGGTGTGGTGGTCAACAAAAGTAACGTCTCCAGATGGGTGGTGAGAATGGTGGGATCGCTTTCACGTTGCTTGTCTGGCGGTAGCAATTGAAGGTCCGGCAGCATAGACGCCATTTCATCGTCGGGGAACTCTTCAGGTCCGGCAATGGGGAGGAGCAGATAAGGCAACAGGTTGGCCTCATCTTCGGCGAATAACATCGGGTGGGAGGGGACGTCAAAGGCCACATTCTTGATGGTGGAGGCAACTCCCTTACGACGAATTTCGCTCTTGTGTTCGGTGAAGACTGTCAGTTTGGTGATGGGGACAACTCCATCATATTCCTGTCGGGTAGTGAAATAGGCCCGTCCCTGTTCGGTTTGGGATAGATCGGCAAAGAAGTAGGACAGGTAATCGTAGTTGGCGTGCTTATTGAGTCCCCCCTCTGCGCCCTTCACAAAACAGTCCATCAACTGATCAATAGCATTCTCGGAGGTCGAGACGCCCTCGGGAATTCGGCGCTTCAATGTATGTAATTTCTGAAGGTGATCAGACTTGATAAGGTTGGCCAAAAGCATGGCGGCTTCATCGACATTTGGGTCCTTGATGTTCTGTATTTCAAATTGGCAAGATATCAGTTTGTGTCAATCTTCTTGGATTAATGCCAGAATGTTCACGTACCGTCAGTTTCAGCAAGAGGGACTCGATGTATTCGTCATCTTCGGCTAGGGTCTTCAAGATCTCCTCATCGGCCGAGAGGTTGACTAGAATGGTCAACACATTCTTGGCAATTGGCTATTGGATAAGATATTTATATCAGTGACTGTTAAAATCGATATTGCGTTGGGAAAATTGGGAGGAATGGATTCTTGCGCCGCACGTACGGTATAGTCCCGAGTCAATAGCTTCAGATCGCGAATAGGAAGCAATTGGTGCCTTTTGAACAAGCTAGGTTGAGCGATAGAGTATCCGACGAGCTCTTCACAGGCTATTAAGTGGTTCTGTATCAGTAAGAGGTCAAAGAAAGGGAGACATGAATAATTTGACTCTTACCGATTTGCCGGATTTGTGAATTTCCATGATGAAGAAAGTCCACCAACTTTTTATTTCATGAGAGGTTTTAGTCAGCGGCAGTTTCCCAGGTTAGATATGGAATCGGGGAATTCAGCAATACATCTTCAGTATCTGTAGGCATCTTGAGGGTTGTACAAGTTAGGAGTATTCCAAGGGTTGGTGCGGGGACAAAAGGAACAAAAACTTTTTTTTTCCAAGTCCGTAAAGTGGGGGAAGTTCGGCGTCATTCCATGGGATTTTCTTGGTATAGATTATTAATGTATGTAGTATATATATACTATATACAAATTTAAATAAAGATAAATATGAATAAATACAAGTAGTACTAGTACCTCATATATCTTGGAGATTACGTTTTCAAAATGTTATATATGTTAACCCACAGAAAGTTGCAGTTATATAACAGTATATACTAGTAGTTAATAGTTAATGTTAACTAGTTAGTTATGTAATGTACTTTGTAAGCATTCAACTTCAAGTAACTTAACTAACCAACCAGTTAGGTAACCAGTTAGGTAACCAGTTAACTATACCATCACCCCTCATTTCCACCTTGGAATTATCCCTTTCCTAATTTTATCTTCTTCCCATTCGATTTCCTATTCAATACATCTACACCATGGCTAGCCCTAATCTGAACGAGATCCATGACTTTCTTGTGACATTGGCCCACCAAGCAGGCGAGATTATCACAAATGCTCTGCCCGATACCGGGGGCGCTGGGTCCAAAAAGAACAGTAAGTATAATTGACATAATTGATATACATGATTTATACGCGTATATACACGTGTAGGTATGTATATCGATACACCAAAGCACTTTTATATTGATACCTTTTACGTAGGTGCCGATCTGGTCACAGAATATGATCGGGCAGTGGAGAAGATGATTTCGACATCGCTCAAGGAGAGATATCCAGATTATGAGTAAGGTCAACTATCTCATCCTACTCTTTTTTTTTTTTTTTTTTTTTTTTTACATATTACTTTCCCATTACTGATAATATAAATCAATTGGGTAATAGGTTTCACGGCGAGGAGACCTATGACCCAAATCGGCCTTTGACCGATGCCCCCACCTTCATCGTGGATCCGATTGATGGCACCGTGAATTTCGTACATAGCTTCCCCTATGCCTGTGTCTCTCTGGGGTTTGCCGTGAGCCGAATGCCTGCAGTGGGTGTGGTTTATAACCCCTTCACCAAGACCTTGTATTCGGCCATCCGAGGTCAAGGCGCATTTCTAAATCACAAAACTCCTCTGCCCTTGAAGGGTGAGAATGTGGAGCCCCTCTCCGGACTTTCCAATGCTCTTATTAGCGTTGAATGGGGCTCCGATCGTAGTGGGCCTAATTGGGACACTAAGGTTCGCACATTTGCAAAACTTGGCCAGGCAAAAGAGGACGGGGGCGCGATGGTGCGCTCCATGCGGAGTCTAGGATCAGCCGCTCTTAACATGTGCGCTGTCGCGGAGGGTACTATGGATCTGTACTGGGAAGGCGGTTGCTGGGAGTGGGATGTCTGTGCTGCGTGGGTTATCCTGACCGAGGCGGGAGGCATCATCGTGGATGGCAATCCAGGGGGTTGGGAGACCCGTTTGGATGGACGCAAGTATTTGGCCGTTCGAGGAGCCCCCGAGGCAGGACAGAGGCAAATTGTGGAGGAGTTCTGGAGTATCATCCAAGGCCAATTAGAGTATTAGTACGCAATGCACTGATAAAATGTGTATGTATGTACGTATCTGTGGAATCTATATACAGGGTAATGTGCATGCGAAGTGGACTTATATACAATCTCATATACGCAATGCATCCGGGAGACTGTTTTGGTTTTATTCATTTCAAGGCCGTGGCGTTGGAGACCATCGGAAGCCAGCGTTGTCCTTTTCGTCAAGCCCGGATTCACAATCATCATCTTCATCCATCTGGCGATCCGTCCATCGCGCAGAATCCTGTCGAGAAACCTCGGTATAGTGGGTACTTGTCGTTCTATGGGATTCATGCTCAGCGGGAAAGGTTTCAGCTCTTTCATGAATGGGGAATTGCGACGAGAGCCGAGAAGGTCCCGGGAGATCGTACGGATGATCCGTTCTCACGCGAGGCGCCTGTCCTGGATCATCATGTTGGCCTTCAACTTCGTCACCGGAACTGGTCGGTCCAATACTGGGTGACTTGGCCCGCTCGACATTTTGTTGTAACACATCATCCGTTTCCACGGCCTCGGTATGTCCAAAGTGTGTATCGACCAAGTGTTTCACGACAGGCCAGCCATAAGCATTGGTGAACATGCGGCGTACAATAATATTGTTATGTGCGTCAGGTTCCAGGCGAACAAGGACCTTGCGCCAGGTTAAATCGCGGTGATAGGCACGAGCAATCTTTTCTTCGACCTTCAATCCACTTTCCCCAAGGTTGGCGGGGACGCCAGAGAAGGACTTAGATGGAAGTTGAGTTGCCGCGGGGGCGGCATTAGAACTCTTATTCTGTAAGGAACTGAATGCGATGGTTCGTCGCTTTGTGGGCAAAGGAGGCGGTACATCGTCGGGGTGATAAATTCGGTCATGGAAAATTGTCCGTGGACGGGCTGAGGGGTCCAGGAGAAATTCAGTGGGGGGTAAAGGTGGCATCAACAAGTCTCCCGCAGACTCGAAAAATGTCGTCTTTGGGGGTGTATGCAACCCTTCTTCGTCCTCATATAAAGAATTTCCCCGAACTAATGGAGCAGGACTTTCGTTGGCGTCGAACGACGCAAGAGTTTGGCTGCGCCTGTAGATTTTGGCATGTTTCGGACGTGGAGAAGGCTTGGTCTCCTTGGCGCGGAACAGAGAGAAAAAACTGCTGAAGGGACCAGAGGAGGAGCTTGTAGAGATATTCTCCTTTGGTCCGACATCTATCACTTGATTTTGGTCGGATGAATGTACTCTCGATGACAAATACTGACCTAAGGCTGGAGAGGATGGGTCTTCCAGAGCTAGAGCCTCGTTTTCTTCCAATGAAGAAGCACCATCTGCCAGTCCCGATAGTTCACCAGCACGGGCAATTTGGGGAGACTTGGAGTTGGCCCCAGTAAGCTCTGCCCAACCCCATTCCGCCATGGTTCCAACGAGACCGTTGTCTCTTCTCGCCTTCTCCACTCGATCAAGTCCTCTCCAATCCAAAAAGAGCAAACAAGATGTCCGTAGAGGAACAATTCCATCATTCACCACATTCGAGTATACGGTGCGGTGCTGAAACTTCTGCAAGGCCTCATGAGCGGGTCCGCAGGGTAGAATTCGCAAAAGTGGCTTGGATCCTGGGTCGGGGTTGCCTTGATCTTTGGCAGAGTCCCCTCGCCCACCAATGATGGCACCCCAGCCACTTCGTACCTTGGGTGCCGTCCAGCTAAGCCCAAGATCCTGCCCTGTTCGACCGACGAGACCCAGGTCCAGGGCAAAGCGCACGTACATGGGGTTCTCGTTGCTAAGTCCTAGAAAGGGAGTTGCGAGGGCGATAAAATTGACCGGTCTAATCTGTTCAAAGAAACGGGGTGAGTGTTTATGTATATATGCAATAGCATATGTTTGAACCAGGCCACCCAAGGAGTGTCCAATGAAACTAATGCTGGTGATCTGATAGGCATGTTCATTCCCAATAGCCAGTCCCTGTTGCTCCATGAAAGCATAAGAATCCGAGGACATATTAGGCTCTTCCTTTCGAGAGCTGAAGGGGCGAGGAAAGGGTTTGGACTTTGAACCCTTCAAAGGAAAGTAAGGTTGATCAGGATATGTCATCAGCAAAACATACTTGGCCAAACGTTTTCCAAGGTACTGGATGCCACGTTCGGTACGCACCGCATTGCCCGAGAACCCTCGAACAATGACCTCCTCCTGATCATTATCATCATCTTCTTCTTCTTCAATGCCTTCTTGGTTCTTCTTCCGCTTTTTGGCCTTGTTCGTCGCCGCATCGATGCTTTCCTTGAGATATAGCATATCCGCACCTAGGTTACTATGCAAGCCATGGGTCACCACAACCAGATGAATCCGCTTCTTTGGTTTCACAGGGGGTGGTGAGGTTTCATGTACCTTCCCTGGTTCTTCCGAATCAGGATTGTAAGAACCAACCCCCGAGCCAGTCTCAGTGGGATCTGTTTTTGACGGCAGTGGTGGGCTATTCCACAAACTGCTTGTATCATCCACACGTAGTGTGATAGACTTGGAAAACACCCCCGTCACAGCCACCACCTGTAGACCCTTAGATTCCGGCGTCCAATGATCTTGTAGCTTCCCCGGGGGGCCCATTCCCGCCGCAGACGTCCCACCAGATGAGAAGAATTCTAAGGATTTTGCATCACGAGCGACCAGCATTTCAAAATGAACAGCCGCGCTATTAGAAAATATCACCTGTGACACAATTTCAATGACCCAAGTCATAGTAGAAGGACCATTTATCCCTAACTGGCCGGCATCAAGGTTGTGAGAGCCCCCGAAAGGGGTTGGCAATTTGATGGTCGCATCCCAGTTCCCACCAGCTTTGAGATATGGTTCAAATTGTGGCGTTCCATGTGTTTCATAATCATTATACTTGCTGTTGGGGTCGAATGTGGATGGGTAGCAGGATGCGTAGAGGCTGTATGGACCATGAAGATATGCGGCTCGAAGCGGGATGGCCGAGGCATTTTTCACTCTGACATATAATTGTGCTGGGAGAGGTAGGATAGGATCTGAAGCTGGGGTGTATGTTAAGGTATATCTAAGATATTGTAGTGGTACTCGTCAGCTTCGTGTATCACTCAAAAGTCCGTTTCATCCGGAAGATGCGGAGGATGCGGCGAACGGGGTTGCGGGAAGGGGACCAGTTGAAATGCTTGGGGGAGGGGGTGGTGGAGATGGAAATCCAGAAGGAACTAACCTGACAACCTCTCCAACGCGTACACTGCCTGTCTGGTAAGTCAACAGCATTTCTGGAGCCGGGTTTGTATTCACAGGGCTCTGGCGCCACCCAGCCAGCGTGTAGAAGCGGGACGCGCTTTCAGTGCGGGATTCGGCCACCGCTCGGTCTGGGGTTTGCGAGGCTGAATACGTTCGGGGCGTGATTAGCATCGAATATGGCGGTTGGGTGGGGGCTCTTGGTTCCGATTAGAGTGTTTGTTCTTTTCGGAGTAACGCCATGGTCAATTTATTTCCATATGGGACGAAGTTGTTGGGTTGTAAAGCGGGTTAATTGGATTCGGGGTATATACTAGTAGTATATTTTATACGGGGGCTGATTGCGGCTTTGATCATGTGCTCCGGTGTTTACCCTCCACATGCAAAAACATTCATTAGTAAGTACAGGTTAGATCATCTACAACAAACTTGGACTCAAAATAGTCCATATGAGATTTAAAATTCAAAAGTAGTGCAGGATCAACCAATTCTTTCATGGAGCAGAGCTGAGACAGCTTCACGATTTTATGATCTCTAGGAGCTGTCGGGACTCCTTACGCAATTCCATCCACCCGCCTTTCTCAATGACAACAATCTTGCCATCAATGCACACTCGTCTCCATCGTTCCAAGTCTTCCAGGAACTCAATCCGTAATTGATCAACTGCTTCATATGTGACTGTTGCCTCGTGCACATGCTGGCCCCCTTGGTAAGCTAGAGTCATGAGGCGCATCGCTTCTACCGCTGGGAGAGGGCCGAAACGCAAGAACCGCATTTGTCCCTCTAGGGGCTCCGAATCCGGTGAAATGAGAAAGTCCTTCTCTAGCCTAGGAACGAGGCTAGCTAGGACATACATATGTTCGTCATTCTCAATGCTCTCTTCCTGACCATGTGCCGTCAAATACGTAATCTTGCCTTGGAATCGATGAGGCTCGGTACCGTCAGAAGGGTACAAAAGTTCTTGCGCTGCCATCTTGAATCTCTCCGACCCAAACTTTCGGTATTCCACTGTATCGCTGTCGGCAACCAGTGCTGCGTGTAGTCCCCAACTTGCCACAACGGCACCATATATGGTTTGGTGGGAGGCATTGGACTCATGACCTATAGCTGTCCTCTGGCGTCCCTCATCTATGACGAGTTGACTCCCGGGGGACAATGTCGCCGCAAAAACCGGCAGGGGAAATGGCTTTCCATTGAGCAACGCAGTGAGACTTGAAGATGGCCCGGATCTTAACCCAATAGAGCTGGCCATGGCATTGCCTGTCCCACAAGGGACTAGGGTGATATGTGGGGGCGTTTGGATATCCCGAGTAGATTTATAGAAAACATCGAGAATATCAACCAGACCCCCATCACCCGAAAGCAGAATAATTGTTTGAGGAGTTCCTGCGCAGGCGTCCTCCAGAAACTGGGATCGAGACAACTCGCTGATCGTGTGAGTGGACTGCGTTTCGTGGGCCTGATGATTGATACCTAGATAGGATAGAAAGGGTCTCAAAAGATCGCGGTAAACTATCCGAGCGGTCCCTGTTCCCGACAACGTTGATATTATAACCTGCACCGGCTTAACATGTCGAAGATGGTCTGGAAGCTTGATCAAAAACGGTGATAGAGAAGGGGGCAGGGATGGGATGTCTGTTTTCTCCAACCAGCCGAGCACCTCCTTATCTCCACATGCAGGTCTCACAAGGAATAGCAATCGGAATCTGGAATCAGAATCAGGGGAAGGCAGAATTCCAATGATATCGGTAAGATTGATCTGCCCTTGAGCTTCGACGTGAGAGGTACATTGCAAGATGTCCCCAGTGACCTCTGTTTTGCAAATCTCAGCGTTCCAGTCAAATGGATCTGGAGCCATCTTTCTTTTCTTTTCTTTTCTTTTCTTTTCTTTTCTTTTCTTTTCTTTTCTTTTCTTTTCTTTTCTTTTCTTTTCTTTTCTTGCAGAGGTTGAGAGTCAACGTCTTCACGAGAGAGATAGAGGCGAGGAGGATATACGGAGCTTATCAAGCTGCTTGTTTGGATAACAAAGTTCTGAGACACGTTGGGTGTTATCATTATCGATAAGACGATTTGGCGGGGTTTGCCTGTGGAGTCAAGTTAGCCTCAAATGACCTAAGAAAGAGAGAGAACCTCGCTCCTCAAGAACTGAACCAGGGCCACGATTCTTATAAGTATATATATATGTACCAATGGCTATTTTTTTTTTTTTTTTTTTTTTTTTTTGGAAATTGTTCATTTGAAACCCACGATAGAAAAAAGAGCAAATAACATTGTACAGGGGAAAAAAATATAGGTACAGTTTATCAGAATAGCGGGATAGCGGCATAGCGGAAGGGCTACTAAAAATCCATCTACCTAGGAAGAGGTATCTGGTTCTTCGGGCTGAGATGACACATGTTTGTCACTCAAGTTTACAGCAATAAAGGACTTTGGCAATTTCACCCTGCAGGACATATGATTAGTACAGTGCACAAGCGGAGGAGGTGGCCAAACGTGGAGGACTTACGTATCGAATTTCGCTTTGAGAGTCTCAATCACTTCTTTCCAATCCTGATGCGCCGTGAGGCTGCGACGTGGAGCACACCCAATCGCGTGCCGAGAGTCGAGCTGCACGTCCAAAGGATCGAAAGCGTGGCACCCGGGGCTGATGGAGATGCGGATGGAGTAAGAGTTGACATCGGACTCGCTGTCCCGGGCTTCATAGAGCTCAAAACAGATCTGTGAGAGATAATCGAGCTCCGGAATGGTACTGCGAGCAATCTTGGTCTGGATACCACCCTCAAGGATGCAGTTCAAAAGCGTGTAGATATGGGACTCTTTGGTAAAGTAGAAGAAGGATTTTGCATCGGGGGAGGCCTGCACTTCTTCCAGATCCCGAACAATTTCTCGGAGAAGCGGCAAGGATGTTAGTAGACCGATCTCGAGTTTCTCACTATCTGTGATACCATATTCCTGTGGAGTAACGTAGTCAAAAAGAACCTTGGCTAGTTTGTATAGCTCCCGAAGTTTGGAAAGGCGCTCGTCCATCTTGCACTTGCTGGAGTTGGAGCCAGGGTAAAGCTTGAAATAATGATCATAAGAATCATCCAGCGCCCGAAGATGGGGCAGGGATTCGAGGGCTTGGAGTCGCTTCTTCAAGCCAAAGCGCTGTGCGAGAGTTTGGTTCTCTGGGCGCTCTTCGGGTTTCTCATTCCCGGGATCTGCTCCATTCTTGCTTTCCACAACTGACTCGGCCTTGGCCGAACTCTTGCCTTTGATACTGCATTTGTCGTCGTCATCGCGGTCACTATCTGGTGGCATAAAGACCCACTCCAAAAATTGTCGATTGTGCAGGGCATCGAACTTCATGCTATCGTAAAGTTCAGAAAATTTGCTGGGGTCCACCTTTTCGGTATCACAGAACTCAGCAAAGAGCTTTTCCCATCGCTCTTTGAAGAGACGTGGATCTTCTCCTGCGCACCACCGCCCTTGAACATTGGAAAGATTGGGTTGGTCGGGTTGCGATTCCGGATGGTTGGGATTTTCGGCGTTTTGCAATGAAGGCTCCAATTTGGCGAAATTATGGCGCATGACACTACGATGAAACTTCATCAATTCCACTAACGTGGAAAGAACGACAGATGGTTCTGGAATGTTGGTATCCTTGGGCCATGCAAACTGTGAGGGGGCCGATCCCTCTCTCAGTAGGAGCTTGAGCTTCTTCTTGACTTTATCCATAACATCTTTTGCGGCGTTGGAGTCATCCAGCAGATCCTTTCGAACTTGAATGAGATCCACTGGGATTTCCTTTTGGTCTAGAAAAGAGCAAGCCCAGATTTGAGCTAATGCATCCCGTCAGTAAAAAAAATAATAATGACCTTACAATAGAGGGAACAGGAGTTCGCCAAAGAAAGGGTTCCACTTACCACTTGTACTCACTCGGCGCTCGGAGCTGGTGAAGAGACGGACATTGCTGAGGGCCTCTTTATTCATCAGCTTTAGATCATCGCGCATGTTCAGACCAAGATCCTGTGACTGATAACGTGCTGCATGTGTAGGCTCCCCTCCCCATTTGATGATCAATTGGAGTTTATCTAAGATCAAATCATTCTCGACAGCAGAGAACCGAGAAAAAGTAGGACCAGAGATGGAGTCACTCCGTGTCTGCGACCTGCGCAAGGCCTCACTGTCTTGTCCAGCTTCACTTGGGATAGGCGAGGAAGGTTCTTCAGGGACCGTTGTTCCCGAAGGCGATGGGGAAGCTAGAGGTGAGACTTGCTCTCGCATCTCCTCGGGTCTGCGCTTCCGGAACATAGGCTTGATCTGTACTTTGGTCCCGGGCCAGCCACCCTTCTTCTCCAAGGATACACGAAGAAGGTTCAATTTATCAACATCCTCAAGTCCTTGTTCCAAAGCTATCTTCACCGCATCGGAAACACTGGAGAGGGCTGATTCCCCCTTGATGACCACCTCCTCTTGATGTCCCTTCAAAAGGTCCACAAAAGGTTGACTGTGGAATGTAAACTTGAATTTTTGCTTAGGCGTGCGATCGGCGTGCCGAATTACAGCTACCATTCCCTTGAGTTTCCAGGAGTGTTTTGAAGCCGGAAGTGGCGGCAGGGCTCCTTCACCAGTTTGGTGAAGGGAAACAGCAGGTGACTTTGTGTTAGAAGGGCTGTAGCCACGAGAGTCCGATTGACATTCTCGCGAGTTTAAACTGCTCAGGTTCATGGTGGGGTCGGTGCTCTCCAGTCCGGATGAGGATGCCACGGAAGGCGCATTGGTTGATACATCCGAGGGGGGTGCGTCGTGAGCTTTGGGGATGTGTTGATTACCATAGAGTCGGGACGAGCTGGGAGACTTCAACAAGGTCTTCAACGCCTGTCGGTGAGAGCCTGCCGTACTTTTTCTGGATTGACCCAGGTCCGGTGAAGGTGGCTCCGAAAGCTCCAATGATCCCTCAACCTTGCGCATTTCGGTCCAGAAAGTATCTCGGAGAATCTGGGCACATTTGTCGTAATAATCATTGTTGTCCTTGACAAAACTCCAGCCATTCACGTCGATTACATAGCTCTTGTCCCCAACACGCAACATGTCAAAGCCGCAGATTCTCTGGCCAAATCCATTGGATATTTTTGAAGCAATGGCAGCTTCTTCCTTGCTCAGTTGGGTGATGTATCGTAGTTCTTTACCGTGGGTGTTTCGGCGGACGAGTCCGTCAACAACAGGTGACTTGCGTGTCTCAGCATGGCAGAAATCTGGACCAACAGTATACGCTTTCACATCCTCTGCGTTGTCCACTCGAAGAAATTGCTCGTATAGGTAGCTTGTCTCGGTCTCTGTGACCGAGCGAGGTACGGAGAGATTGGCATCATATTCCGAGCTCTTATTTCCGACCTTTCGGAAAAGTTTCCGTCCGCCACCGCCATATTGTTGATCGTTGGGGAAGTAGATGTGGATATTGTGATCTTCTCCGTTCACAGGTTTCTCTACAAACGGTTTCCGGAAGACTTGGCCATCCACGATCAGCGACTCCCCATCTTCCGACATGCAGACCTGCTGGGTTCTCGGAGCACCGCCTCCCATGCCATCTTCGGGGCCTTCTAGCTTGACTCCGGTGAGCCGGTATATGTGCTGAGCCATTTCCGTTGATTCTAGAACTGGCCCACCATCGCGGTTCACTTCGACTCTCTTAGGCGTAGGAACGCCCATCTGGTCCAAAATTTTCAGGCATAGTCGTCGGTCCCACAAGACTTTTTGCATCGGCAAGTCGTTGACACAGATTGGCTTTCGAAGTTTGGCATAGGCAATGGATTTATCCAGGGGGAATCCATCGGAAAAGAAGGCGATCAGGAAATCACATACCGGCCAGTTCTCCACCTCTTCATCCAGGATCACTTTATCTCCAAAGACAATGACCTCAAACTCACCTTTAGCTTGGAGCCGAGTGAGAATGTTCTGGCTGGGCTTGCTGCGAGCTTTCACATCTAGAGCACATACGCCAATTCTCCACAGTTTGGGCCCACTGGGCTCCAGTTCACTGATAGAACTTGCTGCCGTACTTCCACTGAATCGGCGGGGTGTACGGCTCGACGAGCGGTTAGAATGACCAAATCGTGGGGCCGCACGATTATCTGGAGCAGCCTCGGCTCGACTAGGTTTCATTGGTGAATGGGAGCCATGGAGTTTGGTTGACGTCAAAGGCTCCGTTGGCGGGATCTCCTTCTGCTCCGCATCCACAGAAGGTAACGGTGAGCCAGAACCCAGGATCTGTTCAAAGACACCCTTTGAAGAGCTCATGTCGGCAGATGACCTGCTACTTTGGCCATTGTCTGGGTCCATCACACCGAGTAGTTGATCAAGATTGGTGGGAAGGTAGGTACGAAAAGGAAAGAATGGATCTCGGGTCGGCGATAGAGGGGCAGTGTGGGGGAGAAGGTGCGGATTCCCTCCGGGTGGGAATCGAAAGCAATTACCCTTGAACTTTCATAGATGTAGGGGTATTTAAGACATTATTTTTGGGAGACTTTGGAAATTTTAAAGTAGGAAGGAGAAAAAGGAAATATAAGTATATCTCCCAAAGAAGAAGAAAAAAAAGTGGATGTCTAGTACTTTCATCAAGTGTGTTAGGTTGGGGGAGAAGAAGAGCGGGAAGTTCATTTGGACGAAAGCGAACTTTTTTTTTTATTTTGCCCGCAAGCAAACCACATGTGCATCAAATACCTTGTACATCAAAACCACATTAGAAAGAAGAGAGGAAAAAATTAGAAAAAAAAAAATTAGAAAAAAAAAATAAGGAGACAATTTGAGAAAATCTAAGGGGATAAAAAAGAGCTCCTATAGTAAAAATGACCATAGTCAATATTAAAAAGTAGTTAATTATTGAATATGCTAAGTACTAGGAGCTACCTGCAGAAATATGTAAGATACATCATGTAATAGCATATATACTAGTTACTAGTTATACTATATATACTATAAGATTAGGTACTACTGTATGTACTGTATGTACTGTATGTACTGTATGGTACTGTAGGGACCTCTAAAGGCGGTGTGGACCAGGCGGTGTAGACCTTTTTGTTGGAAAAAAAAAAAAAAACTTGGATTGGAACAAGATACATGCCAGATTCAAAAGATGTTGCATGCTCGCTGATTATCCTCTTAATTCTACCCTTATCTGGAAAGTAGAGATTAATGATCAATCATTTTCGTTCTTTTCCCCTCTTTCCCTTTTCCTCCTATCTTTTTTCCTACCTTATTACCCACACACATAATATTGTTCTCGCTCCTTCATCATGCCGGCATTGGCCAATGATACCTTTGATTTGCCTTTGGCAAAGAGGCAGAAAAGGACTCTCGATGAAGAAAAAAGGGTAGCTAAACAGCGTGGAGGTTCCAAAATCTTTGCGCCCTTCAGGGTATGTTTATATTTTTTTTCGAGCTTTTTTCCTAGCTTCCCTTCTTCTTCTTGTTCTTCTTTTTCCCGCGATTATAACCCGCGTCGACCTCTTTTCAATCTCTTTTTTTTTCTTTCGTCAAGTTTCCCTGCTAATTGAGTCTTATTTCCAGACATTGGGCTTGGTGTCTCCAACTTCAGTACCCTTCACCAGTGTACGTCTCGGAAAGTCTACCTACCAAATCACGACATCAGTAGGCCACACGCTGCAGACATACGATCTGCGCCGAGGTTTGAGCCTGATCTTCTTGAGTCGACCGCAAACCCCAGAATTCATCACGGCAACATGTGCCTGGCAGGACAAGGTTTTTGCCGCTTGGGGCCACCTCCGTCCTCGTTCCCCCGGCGGGGTTTGGGTGTTCAAGCGTGGTAAACGAGTCGCGACTCTAGAAATGCCTAAATTGGATGGGCCGATTGAACGCTTGGTAGTATTTGGTTCATGGATTGTTGGCTGCTGGACTGGCGGTCTTGAAGTTTGGAAGACAGGGAGCTACGAACACTACGCCAGTCTAAAACCCCGGGCAAATTTGGACTCTGCGGGAGATCCCATCTACGCGGGACTACTGTGCAACATGCCGACATATCTTAACAAGGTCTTCGTGGGACGCATGGACGGCGCCGTGGATATTTGGAACATTCGGAGTGGGAAGCTGTTGCATATGCTACCCGCGCCATCTACCGACTCTGGACCAGTAACGGCGATCCACCCAACCCCTGCTCTGTCTCTCCTAGCCATTGCCCACAAGAGTGGTGCCTTGTCGATTCAGAATGTCGACTCGGGCCAACTAGTTTTGTCTCTACGCACTCCCTCGGCACGCGCTCTTCCGGTAACATCGATCACCTTTCGAAGTGATGGTCTAGGCGCAGGTCACGATGGCCGCAAGGCCGGTGTAATGGCTACCGCTGCCGGTGGAAGTGGTGATATTACCATGTGGGATTTGAATGATGGTGGCCGGGTGGCCGGAATCCTTCGCGGGGCCCACCGGGTAACAAACCGAGACAATGGCACGGGAGTCAATCGTGTCGAGTTCTTGGACGGACAGCCGGTGCTCGTGTCCTCAGGAGACGACAATGCATTGAAAACATGGATATTTGACGAGACTCCATTCTCTCCGACCCCTCGACCACTCCATGTGCGAGCAGGACACTCCGCTGCGGTCAGCGCCCTGGAATTTTTACCTGCTGCCTCTGATGGATCCGACTCTGGTGGCAAATGGCTTCTCAGTGCAAGCAAAGATTGCAGCTTCTGGGGGCTGAGCTTGCGCAAAGATAGTCAACACGCCGAGATTTCACAGGGCAGTGTAGAACGCAAGTCCAAGAAAATGGGTCCTACAGACCCATCCAGCTCGGTGGTTGACCCTCTCAAGGCATCTGAGGTCACCTGTATTTCGTGCTCCCTGAACCGAGATGGAGGCATGGGTATCACCACATCGGGTCCCATCTGGTCAAATCCCAAGTTCACCAACACCGAATCCACCAATTCCACTGGATGGGAAAGCGTCGTTACTGGTCACAGAGGAGACAAATATGCACGAACTTGGTTCTGGGGAAAGAAGAAAGCTGGCCGGTGGGCGTTTCCGACGAGCGATGGAAGTGAAGTTAAAGTAAGTTTATCAACTGCTGTTTCCGAGTCCAGCGGGTATGTTTTGGCTGATTAGGATGTCATAGAGTGTTGCTGTTTCGCAGTGCGGAACATTTGCGGTCATTGGATCTGCAGGGGGATCCATCGATATGTTTAATCTGCAGTCCGGCCAACATCGGCAGAGCTTCCCTTCCCGGGCATCCAAGCCCCGCGCCACAAAGGTGCAGCAGGAAGGAAATGTAAGGCATACTAAGTCAGTCACTGGGTTGATGATTGATAATCTTAACCGCACTGTAATCAGCTGCAGTCTAGACGGCAAGGTCAAGGTAAGGAAGGCTCTATGCCTCTCTCGAACACCCTTCTCCTTACCCCGTACTGACATGATTTCTTTCCCTTCAAGTTTTGGGATCTTCTCTCTGGCTCTCTACTTGACGAATTAGATTGGAATCCAATGGCGGCGGTGACCGGAATTCGCTACAGTAAGACAAGCGAGCTGGTCGCCTTTAGCTGTGACGATCTCTCCATTCGTGTGGTTGATATCGAGACCAGGAAGTTAGTACGTGAGTTCTGGGGTTGCGTGGGTCAAGTCAACGATTTCATCTTCTCCAATGATGGTCGGTGGATCATCGCAGCGTCCATGGACTCCGTAGTACGAGTTTGGGACCTACCCACTGGTCATCTCATTGACATATTCCGCGTTTCCAGCACATGTGTTTCACTGGCGATGTCGTCTACTGGAGAGTTCTTGGCTACAGCACATGCTGGAAGCATTGGTGTTAGCCTTTGGAGCAACCGCAGCCTGTTCATGTCCATGTCTACCAAGGATTTGGACGAGGATCTCATTGAAGATGTTGGTGTACCCACTACATCAGGCGAGAGCGGCGCGGGTCTTGTTGAGGCGGCCTTCATGGAGGCCCCCGAAGCAGAAGAGACAGAAGGACCCGTGTTGACAAGTGAACAGCTGCAGCGGGATATGGTCACTCTCAGTTTGGTTCCTAAGAGCAAATGGCAAGCGTTGGTTCATCTTGACTCTATCAAGGTACGCACAATACTCTCTTACGGTATCGCACAGATACTCCCCTGCACTCCCCTACTAACATTGTTATAAATTAGGAACGCAATCGGCCCAAAGAAGCACCCAAAGCTCCCGAAAAGGCACCATTCTTTCTTCCCTCCATGCTTGGCGATGCGCAGTCTCAACCGGCTCATGAAGTTGCTGCCAAGGCCGCTGAAGCTGGGTCTCTCTCACGCAATGTAGAGGCAGAGCGATCTCGCTTGTCCAAGATGCCAGGCGGGGGAGTTACTTCCGAGTCCACTATGACACAATTCCTCAAGTCCGGCGATCAATCTGGGAACTTTGATCCTTTAATTGAGCATCTCAAATCTCTCTCCCCCGCGCGAGCTGACTTGGAGATTCGCTCTCTTGACCCTCGAGTGCGCGACGGATTCTCTGAGTTATCTAGTTTCATTCGGGCCCTTACAATTCGTCTCGGACTGAGAAGAGATTTCGAACTAGTCAACGCATGGATGGCAGTGTTCCTGAAGATCCATGCTGATACGGTGGGGCTTTGTTCTAGCCGGGATAGCCCCGAATACCGTTTACTGCAAGAAGCCCTTGCCTCTTGGTCCAATGAACAAGAACGGGAGGGCAAGCGCCTTGCTGAGCTTGTGGGTTACTGCCGTGGAGTTGTTGGGTTCTTGAGATCCGCACGGTAGAAGACTCAGATATACACATAGCAGTATGGGCGGTTTGTATATTGAAACTTTGTCTTAAGTTCCTTCTCTTCGCTTCTCTTCCTACTTTTTTACATCTTTCACTTTTGTTCCATGTAGATAACGTGAGTACCACAGTAGTAACCGGGGGCGAGTTACTATGGGTGTTTAATGATATATGTACAAGTTACTACGTACCGAGGTGCTTATGTACCCAACTTTATACTCAAGTTTGTTCCCAGGATAACCATACATATATAAGTTTTCCTCCACCTTGTCGGCCCCATCAATCAGTCGATCACACAGCTCACTAGAGAGAAAGGAAAGAGAAAGCTGCAAGAAACAGATATGGTATTAGGCCAGGATAATCCAGACGCAAACTGAAGACAACCCATGCGAATGAAAGTAGATTTGGAGCCGCGAGATCACGCGAGATCACGCGAGATCCATTGATACCAGCCATAATTTCACCACGAGGGTCAGCAGTCACCTATCCACAGTGTACAATTCACAATCCAAAACAATGGCAAGTCCAAATCCCCAGTATACGGCACACGTAGTAGATTCAGCCGTAATAGCATTAGTGACAGTTGTCGATCAGCAACACAGGGATCATCACGTATGAGTTGTTCGGGTCTACCTAAACTCTGACCGAAGGAGTGAGTTCGAGGCACTGGACAATGAGTCGGGCGGAGAAGTGAATGTGTTTTTGGATACGGTGGTGATATCAGGCGAATTGTAGGGCTTCAAGGCAGACTTATAAGTTGGGTATGGCAAGAAGAATATCTGCTTGGCAGCGCTCACATGTAGGCGGAGGAGGGGGGATGAGAGTATAGATATGGACTACATCGATAATGTCCTCACTTCTCGGGGGCATCTGGCAGTCGTTCTATGACATATTTTCCGCGGGCGACGCTCATTATTGGTGCACCGGGAATTTTCCTGTTCTCTGAGTTAAAATCGGAAATCCATATCTTTTTGGGGTCCCAGTGCGAAGGGAGCTCCATTAATCCACGTACCGAATTCGCCTCTTAAGATCACGATCATTGGTGGCCACAATATAGACGCGATGCTTGATGATCCGATCAACCAAGCAATCGTCAGCATAGGTGCCTGGGTGATCACATTTGATTCTCTCGAATCGGGGATCTTTGGCGACACGCAGGGCCAGACGATACTTCTGGCCCAACTTCTCTAGCTCTGCCAACACACAATCAGTGATGACAGGAATGCACTTGGCATACAGGCAGTCCATCATTGTTGGAATGACATCAAGCTTATGCTGAATAGTGTGGGAGATGAAGTTGGTATCAACGAGGACGGAATACGGCGGGGCGAGAGCCGTATTATATTGGAAGAAGAGTGATGAAGGTGCCTGGGGTCTGGAAAGGAACATTGTGAGCTGGATGCACCCACTGTAATGCCAGAGTCTCTAGAAGAAACATACGCTTCCCTGATTACATCGTCTTTTCCGGTTTTGTCTTTCTTATCAGCCTTGTCGTTTTCTTTGCTATAGGACGGTGTTAGCGGCAAATCGAATTGACGTCCTGGAATTAAAGCAGGGAAGAAACAGACAGGCGATTATCACGTTGGGAGATTGCTCTCTTGGTAACTGCAAACTTCCGAACTTTCCGTTGGATACCCATATTGATTTTTGAAGTGGTTGAATTGGAAAAATGGTACGGAGAGAAGAAAGTAATCAAATATTGAGGGAGTGAAGAATTTCGATAAAAGTTTGCGATAGCAGCCGCATAACTTATTGCTTATCTTATCAGTGGGTGACTAATCGCTAACTTTGTAACCAAACAACCTATATACGGGCCGCCAGCCCCAAAACATATAGTAAAAAAGATCTTGTATCTTAACCATAAAACACAAAATCTGATTTAAACTTATAGTATAAGCTATTAGCCATATTTCTAGTAATACCTTGAACTTTGGGCCCCTAAAATAAATCTTATATTTACAAAAAAAAAAAAATTTTATTAATTACTTTAAAACTTATATAACTTATTAGGGCAAAGCCAAATAGTATTAATTCGATACCTAGAAGCTTAGGTTAAACTCCAAATAAGGCAAACCCATCAAATAATATCAGGAATACTCAAACCCAACAAACCAGACAAACAGCAATAACTTAGTAACTAATATATCTCACAGAATTTAGAACAGAATTCAGAATCAGAAGTTAATAAGATATATAATAATAGTGAATCAATTCTATCAAAATTCTGTCAGAATATATCATTTGATCAAGGATTGTTATTCTAATAGAATTATAATAGAAAAGTTAGAGGAATATAATCCTAAAAGGATTATATAAAGAGTGATTTTATTCTTAAGGAATATTTATAATATTAATTCTGTCTAGAATTAATTATAAAAAGATAGACTAATTCTAAGAAAAGAAGATTAATAATTAGTCTTAAAATCAGATTAACTACTACTTTATTATAGACCTACTTAGTTAATACTATATAGAGAGGGGATAGAGACTAACTGTTAGGGCAAAGCCAAACGGTATCGAATTGATACCTGAAAGCTCAGGTTGAGTTTCAAACAAGGCAAATCTAGCAAACCAGACAAACACAATAACCCCGCTCCGATACAGTTATCGATGCATCTCATGAAAGACGGAATGGAAATGAGAATCGAGAGTCAACAAGATACGTAACGATGGTGAATCGGTTATTAATCTTGTGTCAGAATATATCATTCTATCGCCACTCCGACGGAATGATAATAAAGAGGTAAGGAATGTAATCCTGAAAGGATTATGATGAAAGGTGATTTCATTCTTAAAATATATTTATAATATCGATTCTACCTAGATTTGATTATAAAAGGGTAGACTAATTTAGAGAAGGAAGATATTAAGAATTAGTCTTAAAAATAAATTGACTATTAATTCTTGCCTAACCTATCTAACCTTTATACTAACTATCCTAGGAATATAAGATAACCTAGCTAATATATAAGAAGCTACTAGAGCTTATTATTAAGAAAAGTATAATAATAAGTAGGTATTATATAATACTCTATAGTTATAGTAAGTATTATTTATTAGGGCTTCTACTTACTAAGTAGATACTTAATCCTTAAGTTATTAATTTATAACTATACTATTACTAATTAATATTAAGCCTTATATAGGCTTAGGTCTATAGAATAGACTTAAAAAAGGCTATTATCTAAGAGGGTATTACCTAGTTAAGCTATACTTAGGTTCTAAATTAAGAGACTAGAAACTAAGGATATCTCTTCTAGTAAGGGTTTATCTTATATAAAACTAATAAGTAAATAAATTATTAGATTCTAAGTAATAATATATAGATTAATTATAAAGAACTAAATATATATAGGTAATAATTATTCTTATATACTAAGTCCTTCTTACTTCTTTAATAACTCTAGGGATAGATCTAGGAGTTATTATATATATCTTATATATACTCTTAGAGTTAATATAAGGATATATAGTTATATAATTCTTATTTTTATAAGATCTTATTATTCTTAAGATCTTTTTATTTTTATAATCTTATTATTCCTAAGATATAGATCTTCTTATAATCTTTATATATCTTATAATTATAAATATTATAAATAATCTTATAATTTATTAAGAACTATAATATATTATAGGATATTATTTATTATAAGATACTCTTTATCTTAAGATCCTTTTTTTTTTTATAAATTATAATTTATTATAAGATATTTCTTATTTTATAATAAATCTTATCCTAAAATAATAATCTATAATTCTTATCTATTATTTTATATTATCTAAGTATAATAAAATAATTATAATTCCTAGAACTATATTTTTTATATAATCTATATATTAGATTAATTAATTAAATCTTATTAACTCTTAAATTAATATATCTTATATAGATTTATAATATTATCTTTTTCTTCTTAGATTTTTATTCTTAAAGATTTCTTAATAATTATTATTCTTCTTAGATAAATATAATATTCTAAATATTTTTTATTTTTATTTTTTATAATAATATATCTTTTATAATATACTTATTAATAATTAAACTTATAAATAAAATAGATTCTATTAATATTAAATAATCTTTCTAATTAATCTTTTTTTTAATTATTCTTATAAATATTATATTTCTTATCTAAAAATTTATATTATAAATCTAAAAAATTATAATTATATAAAATATATTTATTATAATTATAAATATATTTATAAGTTTTATAATAAAACTAAGTAAAAAAGGATTTTTTATAAATCTAAAATAATTAATAAATAAATAAAGAAAATTAAGTAATAATAAATAAAACTAATAATAAAAATATTTTATTTTTATAAATAATAATAAATATTTAAAATATAAAATAATAAGATATTAAACTATAACTCTTTTTTAATAAAATAATTTAATATAAAAAATCTTTTTTTATTTAAGAATCTTATTAAGCTAGATTATTTTATTAATATAAATAATATTTAGATCTTAGTTATTATATTAAAAAATCTTATTTTAATATAAATAATTATATTTATAGATTAAAATAATATTAATATTAATTCTTTTTTAATTATTATCTTTTATAGATCTTTTTTATCTTTTAGTAATATTATTAAATTAATTAATAATAATTTTTTAAATTCTTAATTAATTCTTATATATTTTTTTTAATAAGATATTTTTATTATTTTATTAAAAATTATTATTAATTATTTTTTTTATTAATCTATTAAGATTTTTTTTATTTTATATTCTTATTTATTAATATCTTTAATTTTAATATTAATAATAATTAATATATTTTTTAATATTTCTTTTAATAATAAAATATAAAAAACTAAATATATTTATTTTATATCTTTTAGTAATTATAAATAATAATTAATTAATCTTATTTTTTTTTTAATTATAAAAGATCTTAATTTTTAATAATTAAGTTTTTTATTAGATTATTTAGTTTTAATATTTCTTTATAGGAGATATATTTTTTTCTTTTTTTTAAATATAGGTTTTTTTTAAAATTTTTATTATAATTAAGTTTTATTAATATTATCTTTTATAACTAAAAAATAATTAATTTAGATTTTTAAATCTTATTAATAATAATTTCTTATATAAATTATATTTTTAATATATAATCTAATATATCTATTTTAATTATAATAAATAATTCTAGATTAAAGATATAAATAATTAATCTTATTTAGAATAATTTTTTAAATCTCTTAAATAATTTATTAATTATTTTATCTTATTCCTAAACTTAATCTTTTTTTATTAATTAATTAAGTTTTATTATAATCTTTTTAAAACTATCTATATTTTTTTAGTAAAAATTATATAATCCTAAGAATTATTATATTTTTTTAATATTTTTAAATTAAGATTATTCTAAGATATTTCTAATCTTTTTTTTTATACTAAAATTATTATTATTAATAATATATCTAAGAAATCTAGTTTTTTATATATAAAATTTATATTTCTTAAGCTTAAGAGTTAGTTTAGCTTTTCTAAGTTTTTTAAGTATTTTTTATATATATTTTATATATTCTTTTTTTATTTTAAAAAAGATTAAAATATTATCTAAATATATAATAATAAATATATTAAGATATTCTTCTAAAATACTAAAAATAAATTATTAAAATAATATTAATATATTAATTAATCTAAATAATATAATTATATATTTATAATATTTAAATTTTATTCTAAATATTATTTTTTATTTATCTCTATTTTTAATATATAAATAATTATATATATTAATAATATTAAATTTAATAAACTATTTTATTTTATAAATTTAATCTTAAATTTCTTAGATTAATAATAATAAATATTAATTTTTAATAATAATCTTATTTAGTTATTTATAATTTATATAAAAATATAATTTATTATTCTTTTTTAATATAAATAACATTAAATATCTTATTAATAATATAAAATATTTAATATATATTTTTATTAGATTTTTATTAATATATTCTTTTAGGATCTAAGACTCTTTTTTAGATAATTAATAAATTAATATATATTATAAATTTTTTTTTTTAAATAAAAATCTAATAATTATATAATTTATATTTTAATAATTAATTAATTAATAATATTATAAATATATTTTAGAATTCTTAATATTTATAAAATAATTTTAATACTCTTTTTTTATTATATAAAAGGATTTTTTATAATATATTATAATATATTTTTTAAGTTTATTATTTATTATATTAGATTATTATTTTAGTTTTTTAATAATATTTATATTATTAATCTTATAAATCTTATTCTTAGATTAAAAGATTATATTAGACTTTTTATTTTATAATCTTTTATAAGCTTTCATTCTTAATTTAATATCTTAATTTTATAATAATTAATTATTTTATTATTAATTTATTATTTTATATTTATAATTAATAAAATTAATTTATTAAATATCTTAATAAATAACTAGATTATAATATTTAAGCTATAATATTCTTAATATTATATTATATCCTCTTAGATTTATAATATTAAATTTTATTAATTTTAAATAATTTTTAATAATTATAGATAATAATCTAGATTTATAGATTATTTTTAATCTTAGGCTTTTTTTATTAAATCTTATAATTAATATTATTCTTATTTTT